TTTCTAGGTCATGCTGGCTTTGACCGCCGTTTTATCAAAGACTTTAGCAAAATTGATCGACCCTTGTGTAATCTTCTTGCCAAGGAAACTCTTTTCGTCTTTGATAAAGCATGCCTAGATGCTTTTCATAAGTTGCGTGAATTATTATCATCTGCTCCCATCATGCAACCTCCCAATTGGTCATTGCCGTTTGAAATCATGTGTGATGCTTCTGATTATGCCATGGGACCAGTTTCGGGACAAAGAGTGGGTAAGCTTCCTTGTGCCATATACTATGCAAGTAAAACTTTCTCGGGAGCTCAATTGAATTACTCCATTACCGAGAAAGAATTACTTGCCGTAGTATATGCTCTTGATAAATTTCGTTCCTATCTCTTAGGGTCCAAGGTTATCGTTTATTCTGATCATGCTGCCTTGAGGCATCTATTGACAAAAAGGGAAACAAAACCTAGGCTAATTAGATGGATTTTGCTTCTTTAGGAATTCGATTTTGAAATCAAGGACAAGAAAGGCTCTGAAAATGTGGTTGCCGATCATCTTTCTAGGTTATCGATAGAGCCTTTCCCCAGTCTACCAATCTGTGACTCTTTTCCGGATGAATAACTCTTTCAAATTTCTGATGGAAAAATGCCTTAGTTTGCCGACATTGTGAATTATTTGGCAGTAGGCAAGCTACCAACTTCTTGGTCGAAGAACAAAAAGAATCTTTCTTTGCCAACATCCGGAATTACTATTGGGAAGACCCTGTTTTATATCGATATTGTCCGGATCAAATTGTGAGAAGATGCATTCCAGAGAGTGAGATTCCAAGTGTCCTAATGTTTTGTCACACTCTTGCATATGGTGGGCATTTTAGTGCAAAGAAGACCGCCTTGAAGGTTCTTTAAAGTGGGCTCTTTTGGCCCACTATTCATAGAGATGCCTACAATTTTTGCAAATCATGTGAGAGATGTCAAAACATGGGAACAATGTCTAGAAGGGATATGATGCCCTTGACCAATATACTTGTTGTTCAGATCTTTGATATATAGGGCATTGATTTTATGGGTCCATTTCCTATGTCCTATGGTTTTCAATACATTCTTCTTGCCGTTGATTATGTTTCCAAGTGGGTGGAAACATGTGCTACCAAAACAAATGACCACTCCGTGGTCATTCAATTCATCAAATCCAATATCTTTGGTTGTTTTGGTTTGCCAAGGGCTATAATAAGTGATGGAGGAAAACATTTTTGCAATCAATTCTTGAGGCACTTATTTCTTAAGTACTCCGTCACTCATAAGATAGCCACTCCCTACCATCCTCAAACAAGCGGGCAAGTTGAAGTGTCTAACCGGGAAATTAAGCATATTCTTGAGAAAACGATTAACACCACCTGGAAGGATTGGTCAAGAAAGCTAAATGATGCTTTATGGGCTTATCGGACGGCATACCAGACTCCCATTGGCATGTCTCCTTATAGACTTGTATATGGAAAGCCTTACCATCTTCCGGTTAAGCTAGAGCATAAAGCCTTATGGGCAGTTAAAAAGCTCAATTTTAACCTTGATAAAGCCGGAGAGAATAGGTTACTCCAATTGAGTGAGTTAGAAAAGTTGAGATACAATACTTATGATAATGCCAAAATCTACAAAGAACGAACCAAAGCCTTTCATGATAAGCATATTGTGAAAAAGTCTTTGGAACCCGGTCAAAAAGCTTGGCTTTTTAACTCTAGACTGAAACTTTTTCTTGGGAAATTGAGAACCAAATGGAAAGGCCCTTATGATATCATCTCTGTTGCACCTCATGGGGCGGTTGAAATCAAAAACTTGAAGAAGGGCAACATTTTCAAAGTTAATGGTCAAAGATTGAAACATAGAGGGTCAAGTTTTTCAAAGACATTTTGAAGCTGCACATCTAGTTGACCCGGTGTATGAGCACATAGAAGATTGCATTAACAAAGAACCAAGAGCTCCTTTTGAGCTTAAACCAACAAGTTCTTCAAAGAACCATTTGTTGGGAAAAGTTCAAAGAACCATTCATCACCCAAATAAGGAGGGGATGCATAGCAAGATCTTTGATCCGGGCTAAAAGAGTCCCACGTCTTGCTAGAGACGTTAAAGACTAGCAAAGGCATTCGTAGGGTGTCAAAACCCTATTCCTCCCTCATTTCTATCTTTCATTTCATTTCATGCAAAGTCTAGATACTTGTTTTTGGTTCTCATATGCATTGAAAGGAACTTTGGTGAGGATTGCATGAGCTTTCATGTCATTATTGAGCATTCTGTAAAGTTCGATCGATCTCAAACTTGAGTTCGATCGATCGAACTCCACTCTGCATCCAACTCTTAGAAAAATTTCTGACCTGCAGAAACCTACATCCAAATTACCTCTCTGCCCCATCGTTCGAACCAACTCTCAGATCAATCAAGATACCTTCGATCGATCCAACTTCCAAGTTCGATCGATCTCATGATTCAACACTTAGAAAAATTTTGAGCCTGCATCCACCTGCATATTCCAGCTCTCTGTCTGATCGTTCGAAACATTCCAAGATCGATCTGAAAGTTCTTCGATTGATCCAACTTCCAAGTTCGATCAATCTCATGTTCCAACACTTAGCCAAATTTTTGAACCAAAAACCTGCATATTTTTGCTCTCTGTCCGATCGATCGAACTCTTGTTCCAATCGATCTCAATTCTCCATTTCATTGTTTGACTTTGTTTTGACTTTTTAAATTTCAAAAATCCAAAAATATTTTCATTTTTATTTTTATTTTATATTCTTGTATTCAACAAAAAAAAAAAAAAAAAAAAAAGAAAAGAAAAGAAAAAGAAGAAGTTTCGATCGATCTGAAATTCTAATTCGATCGATCGAACTCTTATGCAACAGATTTTAAATAGAGGATAAGATCCCATTCTCCCCCATTTTCAAACCCTAATTCTTACGCCATCGTACCCTCGCCCATCTCCTCCATCTCCGGCGCGATCTCCATAGTGAGCCAGGTGTCGATCTCTCCCTCTTCCCGGATCTTCTTGATCTTCACATTTCATTTCATCTCTCCTTTCTTTGCTTCAAGGTAAGATCCGAGACCCCATTATTGATTTCACACCATGATTTGTTAACAGTATGCTTTAAGTGTTTGATCCACTCCCATATTCATGATAATTGTTGGCCATGGATGAAGTTTTAAGCTTTTCATGTTTATATGTCAATTTTCGTCTTTATGCCATATCCATTGTAATGAGTTGCTTTGATTTTTGGGAGTGTGAGCTATTATAGGTAATTGTGATTGATGATTATTGTGATTGATTGGCCCACAAATATGTTTGTGTAGGTCCCGTGCTTCCACAGTCCCAGATCTGTGACTTCTAGTTTTTCACAGAACACAGTTCGATCGATCGAACTTGTGCCCCAGATCGATCAAAGCTATAAGATTGATCTCACTTATTTTCGATCGATCCAACTTTTGTGATCGATCTCACTCCTTTTTCTGATCGATCGAATTTCACAGATCTCACACACACACTTCATTCATCTTGTATTCATTTCATGCTATCATATCTATGCCCAATGCCTGTGATATTCCACATTGGATGCATTTCATTCTTGTATTGCTTGGCATACTTCACATCCTATCACTTGCATAGATTTATGTCATATATGTTTTGTCTATCCTATCTGACAAACATGTTTCTATTGTGCCTTTAATTCATTATTCTAGCACTTAATCCCATTGCAAGATTTCTTTTTTGCAGACCATGACTAAGAATGACAATTCTTCCACTTCAGCCGCACCTGAGGCTCATGATCAGATATGTTGCTTAGAGGAGGACCTTCAGAGTTTGGAGGATATGCTGGTTGCCCTTAGAGCTGACATTAGTACCCTTTGTCTGAATGTGATGGCTGCCATTCGAGCTGACATTTCTCGCCTCCGTACGGAGATCTTGACTGCCATTGATGACTTAGCCAGGGAGATCCGCGGAGCTCCCTCTGCCTAAGACTCCCAGTCTCTTTATCTTTTTATGCTCTCTATCTATGTTATGTGTCTGCTACACTTGTGATACTATTATTTTTGCAGCCGGGTCTGTCGGCTTTGACACTGGATGTATTACACTTAATTGTTGTTTTTATCTATGATGGATGTTGTATACTTTTATTGATACATCTGTCCTTTTAACTCCATCAGGTGCATCACAGTGATTTCAGTGAGAGAATGCTACCCAATTTCCAGGACCACCCTTATACCTCTCTCATTTCTTTATCTGTTTATCCCATTTACACTTGCATGACCACTGTGCACTGATTATCCCATTTTGTTATCTGATAAGTTTATCCAAGTGCCAATTTTCAGGACCACAGTTCATCTGAAGTTTGGGGGGGCAATGCCACCCACTTAGGATATTTCAGTCCCGATCATTCTTACTTAGTTACACTGGTATACTTTTTCTTTTGTTTTCTTTGCACATTGAGGACATTGTGCAATTTAAGTTTGGGGGACTGGTGCTTTACAGTGATAGTTTTAAATTCAAACTTTGAGCATGACTTGTGTATTTGAGGGATATTTCTATGATTGGTCTATATCTAGTTACGACTTTGATCTTTTGAGGACTATATTGCTTAAAATTTAAAAATTGCTTGACTTGAGAGTCCAATACTCCTTGTATGCCTTATGAATGCCATTTAGGAGTAAATTTTTCGAAAGATTGATATCTTGCTTGCACTTGTGGTCCACATCATCTTGATTTTATGATTGTTTTGAGATTCACTCTAGGATTCTACACTAGCACAGGCGCACACTAGCATTCATTTGTGGGGTACATGCTTTTGTTGATTATTGAATTGGTTATATCCCAATTGGGCTAGTAGTGCATTGAAAGCTTTCATTCTTGATAAAGGTGGATAACAACCCCTTTTCACTAAGTAGCCGGGATTCTAGCCTCATCAAGTACTAAACTTCTCGCGCCGAAAGGTGGAGGGCCCAAACTCTAGGTTAATAATTGAATACAAAAAAAAAAAAAAAAAAAAAAAGTTGTAAAAGTAATAAAAAAAAAGTGAGAACTTCTCCCAAAAGGTGAGAAGTGGGAAATGATTAGATGAAAATTGTCTTGATTTGTACCCTAGTTGATTTGAGCTTGTAAGTCCGTAGGGGTGTTTGAACAACTAGTGCCCTAAAGCCGTCTGGTTTGGGAGTCATTGACCTAACGCTCGATCTCATGGATCACTAGAAAGCTTAATAGATCAACACATTGCACCATGTTTCCATCTTTGATCCTGAAAAAAATAAAATAAAATAATAAAAAAAAAAAATCGAGTGAAAATAATAAGCGCACTTAGATGAATGAAGCTTTAATAAAAGGTCCACTTTTTGTCTTGATGATCGGTACTAGATTTATGTGCTAGTTTGAGGGTAAGGATGTGATTAATTTTTTAGTTGGCTTAGATAGCAACATATTTGATGCTGGTCCACTCAAAGGGATTCTAGAGTTGTTTTGATTTGCATAATCATTTTCTTGATGTATGGAGGACCATACTTGCTTGCTTGATGCTGAGATTTTGGGAGATTGCTTAGAAAGGGTTGAAAAATTGCATACTTGAGGTAGTTTTCTCCTAATACTTGTTTGCAATATTGGTGTCTCTTTTGAAAGAATGAGCTTAATGTTTGTGGGTATCATTTTTGGAAACCCTCACGAGACTTCACTCGTCCACTAGGGGTAACCTAGGGGTTTAAAAGGCTTGTTGCATGTGCTAAGTGCAATCGTGTTCCCTACCAAAGTGGCGTTATTCATTTTTTTTTTTTAGTTAATATTTGTATAGTTGTTGATTTCATTCCTTTACTTTCTAGTTCATTGCTAAAGACTAGCAATATTTAAATTTGGGGGTGTGATGAGCACTGAAAAGTGCGTAATTAAACCCCTTAAGTTTAGGCATTTTAGTACCTTTATCTATCTTACTTTACCGCTTTAGATTGATTTCATATTATTTTCTTTTTCAGGCACTTATCCCGAAAATAAGCTAACTCAGCCAAATAAGAGCTTAATTAAATCAATTCTGGGATTAAACAAAGAAAGGAGCAAAGTGGAGAAAGAAGGAAGCAAATGAAGCCAAAGGTGACAAGTAGCAAAATTTGATTGATCCAAGTTCAAGGTTCAATCGATCGAACAATGATCGTTCTCAGCACTTCAAGATAGATCCAAGCCTTGACCCAAAAGCATAAAGTTCCAAAAGTTCGATCGATCCAACACCATCCTTCGATCGATCGAACACTTTTGTCCTTATTCAAATAATTGATCCTATCCACAGCTGTACCACCCACTAACCACTTTTGTCCTTTTCCCATAAATATCTCCCATAAATATCTCGGATTTGTCTTTTTCCAAAAAGCTCAGCCAGTTGGATCGATCCAGCCTAAGTTCGATCGATCTAACTTACTTTCGATCGATCCAAGTTCAAGGTTCGATCGATCGAACTTCCTCCAGTGCGAAAAAGTTAAAATTCCATCTCATTGAAAGTTGTCCTTTATCCAATCATTAGGGAATATTGTGTGCACGACCCCAGCTCATTTTGGGTGTCATTTTGACCTACCTATATAAGGATAAGGATTGCTTTTACAAAGGGGAGCCAACATTATTTTCATATCATCTCTTGGAGAGGAAGTTTAGAGGAGGAGGAGGCTAGAGACACCATTGGAGTTATTCATCAACAAGGAGCAGATTTCAACCATGGAATTAGCCCTTGAGGGTTAGAGCATCATTACCATGAGTGGCTAGACATCCTCTTGGGGCTAGAGTTAGCCCCAAGCATGCTTTATATATCTTAATCTTATGTATTATTGAGGAATTAGTGTTGTAATTAATGTTTTGACACTTTTATACATATAGATCTTGTTTATTCAACGATTTATGTGCTTTAATGCTTCCAATCAATCATTTTATTCTATCCATATGTCTATGTATGCTAGAATAGATGTTCATGTATTTACCTCTATTTCTTGTGTAATTGATGCATGTCTATATATTAATGCTATGGATTTAGGGATTGTCAAAACATTGTGCTTAAAAGAATACTCTTGTGATTTTCTAGATTGTCCATGCTCACTTCTTGATGGATTATGCCTCTCCCTTAGCTTAGTTAGTTTAATTTTATGCCATTAGTTTAATTGTAATGTAGTGATAGCATAATTGTTAGATGAGAAGACAATCCATGCTAGTTGTTTAATGTTCCATACTTTTGAATGCAAGTAGCATATGTCTCTAACCTTGTGGTGTATTTGACTTGTGAGCTTAATGAAAGGATTAATGACTTGCTAGATATGTTGTGCTTTTCACGTGCTATTTAGACAATATATACTTAATTGTTAGATATATTGTACTTTTCACATGTTGATTAAACAATGTATGCTTAAATTGGTCACCCTTGCTAATTGAATCAACCAAGCACACACACACAAATATTGCAACACACTTTACCCTCATTAGTCACTAGTTGGAAGTGTAAAAAAAGCATTGTTTGGTGGTAACCTCTAGACCCCAAGATCTCTCTCTCTCTTACTTACTCTTTGTTACATTCAATTACTTAGTTTAATTTAGTTGCTCTCTAGTTTACTTAACCAACCAACCATTTGTTTGATCACTCGACCTACTGACCCTAGTTGCATTTTCACATTCAAGTATGACTCCAATCTCTTAGGACGACCCCTTCTCACTCATACTACATAGTATAGGTGTTAAGCGGTTTATAAATTTAAGTATGATGCCCACTTGACACTATTCTCCAAACTCAAAGTGTTGTGCATTATTTTGTGCACACGTTTGGGTAAGCATCACATACTTGCTTGCTTGATATTGAGATTTTGAGAAATTGCTTGGAAATGTTTGAAAAATTACATAATTGAGGTAGTTTTCTCCCAATGCTTGTTTGCAATATTGGTGCCTCTTTTGAAAGAATGAGCTTAATGTTTGTGGGTACCATTTCTGAAAACCCTCACGAGACTTCACTCATCCACTAGGGGTAACCTAGGGGTTTAAAAGGCTTGTTATATGTGCTAAGTGCAATCGTGTTCCCTGCGAAAGTGGCGTTATCCATTTATTGTTTTCTAGATTCATACTTGTATAGTTATTCATTTCATTCCTTTACTTTCTAGTTCATTGCTAGGGACTAGCAATATTTAAGTTTAGGGGTGTGATGAGCGCTGAAAAGTGCGTATTTAAACCCCTTAAGCTTAGGCATTCTAGTACCTTTATCTATCTTACTTTACCGTTTTAGATTGATTTCGTATTATTTCCATTTTCATGTACTTATCCTGAAAATAAGCTAACTCAGCCAAATAAGAGCGTAATTGAAGCAATTTTGGGATTAAACAAAGAAATGAGCAAAGTGAAGAAAGAAAGAAGCAAATGAAGCCAAAGGTGGAAAGTAGCAAAGTTCGATCGATCCAACTTCAAGGTTCGATCGATCGAACAATGATCGATCTCAGCACTTCAAGATAGATCCAAGCCTTAGCCCAAAAGCAAAAAATCCAAAGTTCGATCGATCCAACACCACCCTTCGATCGATCGAACACTTTTGTCCTTATTCAAATAATTGATCATATCTACAGTTGTACCACCTACTAACCAATTTTGTCCTTTTCCCAAAAATATCTCCCAAAATATCTCGGATTTGTCTTTTCCCAAAAAGCTCAACCAGTTGGATCGATCCAGCCTAAATTCGATGGATCTCAGCCAGTTCGATCGATTGAACTTCCTCCAGTGCGAAAAACTTAAATTTCCAGCTTGTTCAATCAGTCCTCTATCCAATCATTAGAGAATATTCTTTGCACGACCCCAGCTCATTTTGTGTGTCACTTGACCTACCTATAAAAGGAATATGATGCACTTTTTGAGATATACACAATTCTACGGTTTATTCTCTTGGAGAGGAAGTTTAGAGGAGGAGGAGGCTAGAGACACCATTGGAGACTCTTCATCAACCAAGGAGCAAATTTCTTCCATGGAGTTAGCCCTTGCGGGTTGGAGCAACATCACCATGAGTGGCTAGACATTCTCTTGGGGCTAAAGTTAGCCCCAAGCATCCTTTCTATATCTTAATCTTGTGTATTATTGAAGGATTAGTGTTGTAATTAATGTTTTGACACTTTTACATATATAGATCTTGTTTATTCAATAATTTATGTGGTTTAATGCTTCCAATTGATCATTTCATTCTATCCATATGTCTATGTATGCTAGAATAGATATTCATGTGCTTGTCTCTAGATTTTGTGTTATTGATGCATGTCTATGTGTATTGATACTATACATTTAGAGATTGTCAAAACATAGTGCTTAATGGAATGCTCTTGTGATTTTCTTAATGGTTCATACTTATTCCTTGATGGATTGTGCCTCTCCCCTAGTTTATTTTCATGCTAGTAGTGTAGATGTAGTGTAGTTGTAGTGTAGTGTTAAATGGGAGGACAATCCATGCTTGTTGTTTGATGATCCAAACTTTTGAATACAAGAAGCATATGTCTCTAACCTTATGTTGTATTTGGATTGTGAGCTTAATGAAAGGATTAATGACTTGTTTTGATCTATTGTGCCTTTCACATGTTGTTTAGACAATTTATGCTTCATTGCTTAGATATATTATGCCTTTCACATGATGTTTAGACAATACATGCTTAACTAGTCATCCTTGCTTGTTGAATCAACCAAACACACACACACACCAATATTGCAACACACCATTTGCCCTCATTAGTCACTTGTCAATGGTATAGAAATGCATTGCTTGGAGGTGACCTCTAAACCCTAAGATTTCTCTCTCTCTTACTTACCCTTTGTTGCATTCAATTATTTAGTTTAATTTAGTTATTCTCTAGTTTAATCAACCAACTAACCAATTGTTTGATCACTCAACCTACTAGCCCTAATAGCGATTCCACAACCTTGTTCGATCCTCACAATCCCTTGGGACGATCCTTACTCGCCCTAGCTATATTTATAGTGAAAGGTAGTAGTGGTTTCTATAAATGTAAAACTCTTGGCCCTCGCTTTAAAATGCACACACTCTTTTAAGCTTGACGGTAGTGCGGCAGACCAGTCAAAGAGTTTGGTTTTCTCAACGTTACCTTCACCTGAAGACAATTGTTGTTGTAATAACAAGCCCCCATTTCATTTAAAGAATTTTTCCTTGAGCTTAATTTCCCTTTTTCTTGTGACTAGTTTAATCATCCCCCATGTACCAATAAGTGAAAATAGTATTCCGAGACCTGTGCTAGTACCTACAGAACATAATAGGGAAAACTCACCTCTCACCTAAAAATTTTATGCTTGAATACAAAAAATACTCGTATATGCTAATATTCCCTAGATTTGTTCATATCCCATCTATTTCCATAAGAAAGACAAATCCTTTCCCAGTATTCTGGTGTGACCGTGTGAGTGCAGAACTACCCAATTTCATATATTAAATGAAATTTGACTTTGAGTTTAAGCTGTTAGTCCACAAATATGATCTAGACTATATGGTTACTTTTAATTTGGAGCTACTTTAGTTGCTACCATGTTTCCTATGGTCGTTGAACTGTCAAAAGGGAATCCTATTTGTGTTAAAAAATTATGTTGACTGATGAAAAAATCTAGTGTTTTTTTTTTTTTTTTCTTTTTTTTTTTTTCCTTTCTTTCTTCTTCTTCAGTTTGGCTCAAATTTTAGTTCTTTTTAATATGGACTCATACCGAATCGATCAATTGTCTTGATTTTGATCAAGCAATAATCAAAACCTCCAATTTGTGCGTGTTATTTCTTTGTTGTGTGTTTGCACGGGGGGTGGGGAGGACGTACCTATAATAATGATCCGAACCCTGTTGCCTTCATTGTCCTTGAGTTTATAGCAACTATATCCAACAGATATGTACCCAGGTGGACAATTGCACTTGTAACTCCCTGGTGTATTCTCACAGATCATCTCATAGTGATTCATATCACTCAGCGCACATCCATTGATATCGGACATTCAAAATCAAACAAAATAAGCTATTAACATGTTTGTCTATACACCTGCATAGGACAACATGGAGAGTAGTTGAGCCATATGCTATGCGTAAGTTTTGCCAAATACAGACGATTGACAATATTTTTTTCAGAAATTAAGAGTGACAATATATTAAAAGTTAATATAGACAAGTCTCTAGGTGTTTGCTTTTGTTGGTAATCAATTGATGAAGTAATGTTCCAGTAATGCATTACTAAACTGAAAATTCGTGGTGCAAATTTACTAATTGCAGAATTTTACCTTGGCATTCATCAGGCAGATATGGGTTTCCTTTATAGCCAAGGTCACACTGGCATCGGTAACTTGAGCTTTGATTAGAAGTAGAACTGCAGGAAGCATTAGTGCCGCATAATAAGCTATTAGGCACACTGGAATTGTAGACTCCGAATGTTTGGCACGTCCCAATTGTGTACCAATTCAGCATAGCAGGGACCTTCTCCATTTCCTGCACAGCAAAGGGGTCAGTCAGGTTAGTGAACCATTCTTGGTCCACCATAAAGGCATATTTGCACCCTTTATTATCACTGTTTGAATCTATGCTTCTGAAAGATGCATTGATAAACTTGAGGAATGGAGGGATTGTGGTTTGGCAGCAGTTGAGGCCATAGCAAGTTGTATCTCTTGTAGTAACATTGCATAGGGACATACAGCCCCCTATGACCATTCCTTGTCGGGTGATCAAGGCGAGGTTGTCACAACCCATGGCCGTGAATTGGTTGTTGGTGTCTGAGAAGGAAAAAGGGCCGTTCAAGTACGCATCTTGATTATTGGTCCTGTTTTCACAATTAGAAGAGATTACAGGGTTGTTGACGAGGACAGCGCTTTCTGATAACGAGATTTCAAGCACCTCAAGGTTGATGCCAGTGATTAAAGGTTTGGGTGGGGTGAAAGAATGGTTGCAGTTTATCTCAAGCGACTCATCAGCAGAACAATTGGCCCCAATTCCAAATGGGTAGGGAATGATAACATTTCCGCATCTGTCTTGACAACCAGGCCTTGCTAGTGATGCTCCAATTAGCAAGAACAATAGGGTGATTTGCTGCATCAATTGAATAACCATTCTCTCTTTCTCTCAGCAGATGGATCCTGTGGAAGAGATTCACCAGAGTTTTTCAAAGAATGAGATGAAAGAAGAACTTTGCCATCTATTAGTCATAGTGAATGTTGGAGACCATAGTTATTGTGAAAGAAGTCTTTCAGAAGCGTTAAAGGTTGGAGCCTACCATAGTTGACCATTAGTTTCATCATTGAACCAATCATCCAATATGTACAAGTCAAATTGATCAAGGCCATAAGAAAATAATTAATAAACGTATCTTGTATTCGTGGGTTATTTATCTTATGATAGTCTTGTAACAATTTTATGTTTGATGGATGACATTGACGTGAACGTTCTGGCATCTTCTATCCATTTCTTGTCTTGGAAAACATACGTTTTCAATAATTGAAAAACGCTCCTTAAACAAGTATGTTTTTTTGGTAATATGTCAGTTTATGGAGATAGGAGAAGGTATTGGGTGTGCCTAGTGCATCGGGTCATCCGAACTGTACGAGCATCCAGCGCACAGGGTTTGCCTGAAGAAACAAAAAAAAAAAAGATCAACCCTAATGACTTGGATCAACCAATCTGGCCAGTTAGACCATTGGAGATCCTCTGAATTAACACCAGGAGCCCAACTACACAAACTGTGAGCCACCATGTCACAATGTAAAAAACAAAAAAAAACTTGGAAGAATAGAGAATTGTCACCCTGTTACAAGTGTCCAAGCTAGTTTACCCACTCCACCAAAAAAACTTTATTCTAATAATAGTGATGACGATGTGACAATGACAATAACAATTTAAATGCAAATTAATTGTTAACAAAATTAGATATAAGAATCAAAACTCGATAAACCGAAACATATATCTGGATCATGGTCTGAACCTTTACTTTGTTGTGAAGCTTCAATTTCACCCTTTAGGAGACTTGCCTAAGCAATCAATTATACCTGCTTAGAAAATGACAATTACAATGTCAAATAGATAGTGCCTTTTTTGTAACTCAGATTGATGGATTAGTAAATAGTTACGAAGTTAGTTAGTAGCTAAACTCAAACTAAATTAAAGGCTAGCAAAGGGTCCTAGTTGAATAAATCAAAGGCTTCACTAGTTTAAAAAACTCTCCCGAATGTATGACATATTTGAGTGTAAACATTGTGCAGACCTCATTTTTCAAACATTGAAACTTGTAAATCACAATATCATCTTTGTTGGGAGAGATGACAATAAACAAACACAGCGAAATAATTCTTCTCCCTATATGCAAGAAAATATAGTATATCTCTACTTTTATATGTGCTGAAAATAATAGAGAACAAATCAATCACACCAAGCCACAAGAACACAAGCAATTTTTTACGTGGAAAACTTCCCCAGTGTGAGGAAGAAAAACCACGGGACCTAGTCTAGTTAAAATCTCCACTATCAACCAAATAATGGGTATACAAAGTTTTCTCTAATCGCAATTAGAGGTTACAAAACATTTCATCAAGATAGCAACAATCTTGGCAAAAACAAAGAGAATTGGAGAGAAAAATACCAAAATCCAGTTACTGTTCACGGGCATAAATCACTGTTCCTGAGATCAAAATCTGATCTTTACCGTTCAGATTGTGCGTCACTGAGTTATGAACCTCTCCTCCAAATTTCAGCTCGATCGGACCACGGACGAAGCGGGATTGGACATTTGATGAAATCTGGGCAGAATAGAAAAACTTGCGTTTTTCTACCAAAATCCGGTTACTGTTCAAGGGCAAGAATCACTGTTCTCGAGCTTAAAATCTGATCTCCACCGTTCAGATTGTGCATCACTGAGTCATGAACCTCTACTCCAAATTTCAGCTTGATCGGACCACGAACAAAGCAAGATCGGACGTTTGATCAAACCTGGGCAGAATGGAAAAACCTGCGTTTTTCTTCTCTTTGTTCTTTTACTTGCGGCTAACCTCTCTCTCTTTTTATACTAACTTCCTTAGGGTTTTCTTTTCCCTAAAGGCTGGGCTTTGGGCTTTTAATAAAACCCACTTGAGCTTTCCTCCATATAGAAGGAAATAAACCCAACAAATCTCCCCCTTTCCGACTATGTGGAGGGAATCGCCATCCCGGCGATCGAACAACAAACTTCAAGCTTCTCTCTTGGTAATGTCTTTGTCAACATATCAGAGCCATTATAATCAGTGTGAACCTTCTCAAGTTCAAGTAACTTATTGTTCAACGCATCTCTGATACAATGGTATCGTACATCAATGTGTTTAGATCTTGCATGGAACTGGAATTCTTAGCAAGATGAATAGCACTCTGGCTATCACAAAACAACACATACCTCTGCTACTTGAAACCAAGTTCTCTCGAGAACTTCTTTGCCCATAGCAACTCTTTAGTTGCTTCTGTTGCTGCAATAAACTCTGCCTCTGTGGTAGAAAGAGCAATACACTTCTGAAGTCTCGATTGCCAACCTACAGCCCCACCTGCAAAAGTGATCAAATAACCCGAAGTAGACTTACGAGTATCCACATCCTCTGCCATATCTGCATCTGTGTAGCCAACTAATAATTGTTGTCCGTTTCCCAAACCAAGTCTCAAATTGGAAGTGCCTCGAAGATACCTCATGATCCACTTCACTGCATTCCAATGTTCACTTCCCGGATTTAACAAGAATCGGCTAACTACACCAACTGCATGGGCTATATCTAGTCTTGTGCAAATCATTGCATACATCAAACTTCCTACTGCTGAGGTGTAAGGAACTCTTTTCATGTCTTCCTTTTCCTTATCTGTAGAAGGACATTGCTTTGTACTCAGTCTGAAGTGGGTAGTAAGAGGATAGCTAACCACTTTAGTGTTGTCCATATTAAACCTCTGAAGCACTTTTTCAATGTACTCCTCCTGTGACAAATATAACTTCTTGGCACTCCTATCACGACTGATTCTTATGCCAAGAATTTTCTTTGCTGGCCCTAAATCCTTCATAGCAAATGACTTACTCAATTGCTTCTTCAACTGGTCAATCTTTAAAGCATTCCTGCCAACAATCAACATGTCATCCATATAAAGCAGTAGAATAATAAAATCATCATCAGAGAATTTTTTAACAAATACACAGTGATCAGAAGTTGTCTTCTTGTAGCCTTGCTTCCCCATAACAGACTCAAACTTCTTATACCACTGTCTCGGTGCTTGTTTCAAATCAAATAGGCTTTTCTTCAGCTTGCACATATAATCCTCTTTCCCTTTCACTTTGAAACCCTCTGGCTGCTTCATATAAATCTCTTCCTCCAAATCACCATGAAGAAAGGTAGTTTTCACATCCATTTGCTCAACTTTCAAGTCAAGACTAGCTGCTAGGCCGGTGCTATACGGATCGATGACATCTTTACGACTGGAGAGAAGATCTTATCAAAGTCAATACCTTTTCTCTGACCGAACCCTTTGACAACCAATCTAGCTTTGTACCGTGGCCGTGAAGATAACTCATTTTGCTTCTTCCTGTAAATCCACTTGTTTTCCAAAGCTCTTTTTCCTTTAGGTAGCTTCACTAACTCAAAGGTGTGGTTATCATAGAATGACTGCATCTCATCTTGCATGGCCTTAACCCACTCTGTCTTTTGTTCATCTTCTATGGCTTCTGCAAAACACTGGGGCTCTCCCCCGTCAGTCAATAACACATACTGCTCTGCTGAATACTGAGTGGAAGGACGTCAGTCTCTGCCAGACTTCCTGGATGGAATCACTGGTGGAATCTCTGGCGCTGTCAACTGTTCATCAGTCTCAACATCTCCCTGAACCTGTAAGGGAACATCCATATCACCTGTACACTGGTGGTCATCCTGACCATTATTCTCAACCTGAGATGGCAGATTCTTCAGAGGAGCTGGATCTATATCAGTCAAGATATCACCCTGTTGAGACATAAATTTCCCTGCTTTCTCAATATCCTTAATCGTCTGATCTTCTACAAACACGACATCTCTGCTTCTCACAATTTTTTTCTCAACTAAATCATAAAGCTTGTACCCAAACTCATCTTGGTCATAGCCAAGGAATATACACTGTCGCGTTATCACATCAAGGTTGGACCTTTCATCTTTTGTAATATACACAAATGCTTTACACCCAAAAACCCGCAGATGATTATAGGATACATCCTTACCTGTCCAAACTCGGTCTGGCACATCAAACTGTAGAGGAACACAGGGTGTAAGATTCAACACATGAACAACTGTGCTCAATGCCTCCCCCCAAAAAGATTTTAGCAATTGGGCTTGTGAAAACAAACATCTCACTCTCTCAACCAGTGTCCTGTTTATCCTTTATGCTACGCCATTCAACTGAGGAGTTTTTGGAGTTGTCTTTTGATGCTGGATACCGTGTTATCTACAATACTCATCAAAAGGACCAGAATACTCTCCGCCATTATCAGTACGAATGCATCTCAGTTTCTTCCCAGTCTGTCTTTCAACTAGGGCTTAGAATTGCTTAAACACTACCAACACTTGGTCTTTTGAATTCAAGGTATATACCCACAACTTCCTTGAATAGTCATCTATGAAGGTCACAAAGTATCTAGACCCACCAAGTGTTTTCGTCTTCATAGGGCCACACACATTAGAATGTACCAAATCCAGTATCTCTGACTTTCTCGAATGAGGGGAATTCTTGAAGGAGACTCTGCTCTACTTCCCTAACAAACAATGAGTACACCTTTTCAAAAGTGTACTTTTCAGTCCACATAGTAAACTTTTCTTCCCTAGTAGAGCTAATCATTTCTCACTCATGTGAGCCAGTCTCTTGTGCCACAATTCTATTGTATCATTATCTTCCATCGCATTAACAATGTCGTTGGAGATCATTGTTTGCAGAACGTACAGTGCAAAGTGCTTCATACCTCGAGCCACAACCATAGCACCCCTAGTGAGCTTCCACTGGCCATCACTGAAAGTGCTGCAATACCCTTCATCATCAAGTTTACCTGCAGAAATCAAATTCAAGCAAATGTTAGGAATATGCTTCACATCTCTGAGAACTAACCTCGTGCCATTATTCATCTTCAGATACACATCCCCAATTCCAATGACTTTAACCAAGCCATCGTTGCCCATTTTTACTGTTCCAAAATCACCAGATTTATAAGATGTAAAGAAAT